AGTAGATTAACTCAAGCATAAAGGGATATAACTACAAAATTAATTACATAAAGGAAATGACAGCTCATTATTTAGGAATTTTCTTTATTAGAGAGTTATTTTTTAACTTTCTAAGAATTCACTGATAAAATTGTTAAGGAATGACTAGCTAAAGAGCCTAGCAGTGCATGTGTTTGATTCAATAGATCTTTCCAAGAATCCTGAGTGTTCAATGTCACTATTCCATGGTAGTATTACGTCAAGAGAAGAACTTGTTTTTAAATACATTAAGACAGATGCTTCTGTGAAGTTCATTCCTCAGAACCTATGACAATGACCTCAAATAGCAGAGCATTTAATTTGCAAACGATCAAAACACAGCAAATAAAAGGTAATCCTTAGGTTTCTGTTATACACAGAAGTAACACATAAAGATGCAAGCAAAACAGAAAAGTTTGACGAATTAATTTGAACTAAGCAAGGAAATGCTTTAGAAATGCTCTGACACATGAAAGAATAGCAAAGAATGCTCTTTTGTGAAAGAATAGCTTTTGTGAGGTGGAATAAGCACTGAAAATATGTTTTAATGATTGTGGAAAACTAATTTGGGGATTGAAAAATATCAACTAACTTACAGATTCTGAGTGCTCCATTACAGCCAGCACAAAGAAGACATATTCTTGACCACTCTGAAGTTGCTTATTCTCAAAGCCACCGTAATGTTTCTTATCCCCCAACGTGAACTCCGTAGGAAGAACTTCAAAGTGAGCTGCAATATATGGCTTTAATTCAACTTCCCTCCCAAGACGAATGCTTCTGCGTTTCCTAGCTATCTCCTTAAGCAGCTTTAGAAAAAAGAGAGGGAAAGCAAGAACAGAAAGATTACTGTAAACAATTTTAATGTACCTTATTGACAATGTAATGAGAAAATTTATTGCATGAGCAGGAACTACAAAAAATACAATTTATTCACATTTCATGAGGCAAATCAGTATCACTAAATCAGTTCTTTCAAAATCTCCCAAATTCTTGTCATCCTTGTTTAGACACTGGGTAGCAATTGCACTGCCCAGAATACAACCATAAAATAATTAGAACAATTTTCCGTGTCTGATACTGCTGTCTCAGGGTGGGGGAGGGGCAAGATAATAAAGCAATATATAAATAGGAAGTCAGTCATAGAATAGAAACATAGAATTGTTTATGTTGGAAAACACAGTTAATATCATAGAATCCAGTCGTTAACCTAACACTGTCAAGTCCACTACTAAACCGTGTCCCTAAGCACCTCATCTACACATTTCTTAAATATGTCCAGGGATGGTGACCCAACCACCTCCTTGGGCAGCCTGTTCTAGTACCTTAGAACCCTTTAAGTGAAGAAATTTTTCCTAATACCCAATCTAAACATCCCCTGGCACAACTTGAGACCATTTCCTCTCATCCTATTGCCTGCTACTGATGCAACATCCTTTCAGGCAGGGGTAGGAAGCAGTAAGGTCTCCCCTGAGACTCCTCCAGGCTAAAGAACCCTAGTCCCCTCAACTGCTCCTCACAGGACTTGTGCTCCAGACCCTTCCCCAGCTCTGATGACCTTCTCAGGACATGCACCTCAGTGTCTTTCTTGTAGTGAGGGGCCCCAAACTGAACAGGTGTGGCCTCACCAGTGCCAGTTTCAAAGGGACAATCACTTCCCTAACACATAATAATATTTACTCCCTATTTATGAATATGCAGGATACTTTCTTGTCTCCTGATTGATGCAACAAAACTAAGTGAGTCATATTTAAAAACCAGGAATAAAAACCAGAGATTTGAAAAAAAAAATCACAATTATTGAAAGTCAGTTTATATTAACAGTTTTTACCTTTTCTCTGGTAATGCTGAAATACAAACAACTCAATAATGAATAGCTTTTTGTTTGTTTGTTTGTTTATTTGTTTGTTTCTCTCTATTATGAAAACTACCAAGCACTCTGCCAATATTAAATTCCTGGACATCCCAGGGAAAAGACTGTTTTCCAAAGTACTTCACAAACAGTAAATGAAATGCAGAAAAGTTTATAGGATTGATTTGTAAACGTATCTTCCATCCCAAACCTGAAATCAACTGTCATTTTATTTGTTCAAAAGCACCAAAAATGGTATTCTTCATGGTTTGTAGAACACTACACAACACATTGGTGTTAGGAATCAATAACAGGACCTATGAATCCCAAGACAACTTTTCTGCTACTAGACTATAAAATATTGTCTACAACCCTAACATGCATAACCCACATTTCAGATTTTAACTGCCTAATCTAGTTTTGAAAATGTAACTTTTTTAGAAAATTTTAATTTTTTTTTCTTAAGCTACTGAGACAGCAGCTTTTAATACTGATTACTTTAACATCGCTTCTCACTGAAATACATGTTTCAGACACACGCTACATATAAACAAGAAGTCACCTATCACACTTGGATCAAAATTTCCTTAGCTTTGAGGGCATTTGGATGTAACGCCTTTGAAGCCAACTGCTTTCCAGCTCTAACACTGTGTCTATTCTCTCTGTTGCAGAGATTTTACATTCATTTAACTCTGTCAATTTTCATGGTCCAACACAAAAGCTGGTACCCTGCAATGGATCCCCTGAGCAAAAATGAACGGGCCATAATTTGAAAGTAGAAATCGTTATTCATTACTCAAGGACTCTATTACAATCAGTAGTCCATATTTCTATTTCATTCTTCCTAAACAGTTTAATGAGCGGCTAGAGTAAATTTGCATGGTATAAAAATGATGGCAGTAGAGAACTGTAATATTAAGAAGATTTCTATTCAGTTGCTTTATTGAAGGTGACTCTCACATCTGTTGGTAGCTTCCTATGCCCTAGGTAGACTTACTAAGGGCAGAATATGAGGCACAGACCAATCAAAGTTTTTTCAAGGTTGCTTCAGCCCTTGCAAGATCTTCTGAAGGAAGAACTCTTGAAAAAGTTTTTATCTACACAAAGCCATCTTTTATAAAGGTAACAACAGTTATGCAGGGGGATTAGCGCTGACTATTCTGAAGTCTGCTGAAACACAAAGGTGTTCAGGTAATAACAATGTGATATGTATACTAACTGAAGTCAGGACCTTTAAGTACTGCACTATGAGGATAGGTACATGTCTTGAGCACTCAGAGAGTTGTGGTCAATGGCTTGATGTCTGAGTGGAGACGAGGGACAAGCAGTGTTCCTCAGGGGTTGGTGTTGGGACCGGTACTGTTTAACATCTTTGTCGGTGACATGGATGACGGCATTGAGTGCACCCTCAGCAAGTTTGCTGAAGACACCAAGCTGTGTTGACAGATGGACTGCTCGGTGGATAAAGAACTGGCTGGATGGTCGCACTCAGAGAGTGGTGGTCAATGGCTCAGTGTCTGAGTGGAGATCATTAACGAGCGGCCTTCTTCAGGAGTCAGTGTTGGGACCTGTACAAATATGGGCTGGGTGGAAAGTGGATAAAAAGCAGCCCTGAGGAGAAGGACTTGGGGGAAATGAGGGATGAAAAGCTGAACATGAGCCGGCAGTGTGTGCTGGCAGCCCTGAAAGCCATCCAAGTCCTGGGCTGTATCAGAAGAGTGGACAGCAGGTCGAGGGAGGTCATTCTCCCCCTCTACTCTGCTCTCATGAGACCCCACCTGGAGTGCTGCGTCCAGCTGTGGAGTCCCCAACGTAAGAAGGATATTGATAGGTTGGAGTGATTTCAGAGGAGGCCACAAAGATGATCAGAGGGCTGGAGCACCTCTCTTATGAAGAAAGGATGAAGGAGTTGGGTTTGTTCAGCCTGGAGAAGAGAAGGCTCCAGGGAGACCTTATAGCAGCCTTCCAGTACCTGAAGGGGCCTACAAGGAAGATGGTGGGGAACTTTTCACAACGGCCTGTAGTGATAGGACAAGGGGTAATGGGTTTAAATTGAAAGTGGGGAGGTTTAGCTTAGATATCAGGAAAAAATTCTTCACTGAGCACTGGAACAGGTTGCCCAGAGAAGCTGTGAATGCCCCATCCCTGGATGTCTTCAAGGCCAGGCTGGATGAGGCTTTGAGCAACCTGGTCTAGTGGAAGGTATCCCTGGCCATGGCAGGGGGGTGGAACTAGATGTTCTTTAATATCCTCTCCAATCCAAGCCATTCCATGATTCTATGATCCCTGAAGATAACTGCTATTTTCATTTATACTTAAAGCTTCCCCTGAGATTTACAGTTATTTGTGTGGCTACCTGAAATAAATTCTTTATCATATATTTCCAGATTACAGCATACTTACTTAAGTTAGATTACTTAATCTAATTTATTTACTTACTTAACTTACTTACCATACTTAAGTTAGATTTTCTATAGTTCATAATATAATGTGAAAATACTGAAGGAATACTGAAATTAAAGTGAGACCAAGATTGAAAGGAGAAGAAAAATGTTTGATCTTAATTATTTCTTGCATTTGAATTAGTAACATAAAATGTACATATTTAACAGATATAAATGCTGAAGTACTGTATTACACTCAGTGAAGTGATCAGAAAGTGAATTTTGGCTACAAATGTTAGAATTTAATTAGCATGAGTCAAACAAGATGTGTTCAACTTATTCAATGGTGGTCATTCATCACCTAAGACCAGCAAAACTTTGATGTGTTTGTGTATAGATAAAAATTTTATCTGTGACATTGCTTACACATGACTGAATATACCTCAGGTGAACTTCTGGCCTCATTTATGTTTCATATTTAAACGATGTGGTTGCCAAATACTATTACTTGCACATATATCTCCTGTTGTACTTCATACCAGGTTTTCAGTACAATTACTGAATTGATTTAACATGCAGGCTTGTATTTAGGCTTTATTGCTTACAAATCTAAAGTAATACTACTGGGTAATATTTACTGCAAACCATAATATTTTTTATATATTTCATTTACTTGCATTGCATATTTATTTGAAGTAACTAGATGTCATGATATTCAAAATAAAGTGAAATTTTTAGTTAATAAAAAGCGATTGTATCTCTAATAACTATTATTTTTAGGTACACAACATGTAGTCCACTGTCTGCTCCTCTAAGATTATGTATCTCTCTTAGTTTCATTCAGAACTGAGGTTGAAGAAATGGGGAAGATCAGGAAACTACAATAAGGCTGGAGGATCTTTAGAACTGGTCAGTTATGTACTGGAGTTAACATTCTAGAGTAGTGCTTTCAGCAAATACTTTTGGCAATCTAAGCAAAGTATTTACACCATGTTCATTTGGAAAACTGATCACTCAACTCTTTTTGATACTAGCCAGAAATTTGAGATTGTACTAAAAAAAGGCATCCACAAGTATCTTCACTTGACCATTGGGAAGTATTTGCTGAGAAAGTAGTGTGGTTTGTTTTTGTGGGATTTTTTTTTCTTTGAAATGTATCCATTGTGTGACTACTTTCAAATGTCAGGAATAGTACACCTAATAACAATATGCATTTATTTTCTAAAGCTGCAAGTAAAACAGTCTTTTTCCGAAACTGAATACGTTAGCATGAAATACAGTCACTATCTGCCTGTCATTTTTTCCTGCTTCGTACTTACTATATGTACTGGTAACAACTGTAAAAGATATATCAAGGGTTTTAGTTCTTTATAAGAAATAATTTTCATTTTGCAGTCAACGCATATCTTATTTCTTCCACCATTAATTCTACAATGTGGTCTCAATTATATTAGTAAAAGTGGGAAACAACCCATCCTGACCAAAATATTTTTGAATTAATAAATGCTCTTTATCAATCTGTTACACAGATTAATGCACCACAACTTGCAGGATGATTAAAATGACCCTTTGTTATGGGAATCAGCAGGACTTGTATAATTTAATTGCCAAAAAGTTCAATGTCATCTGGCACCTATCCTTTAATGTGTTAATGCTGCTGAATGTTACTACAGCCTTTGGATGTTAAAAGTGGGTGGTAATATTAAATCAATTTTCTATTATTGTACGGATCTTGCTGTCTGGGTTTTACTGTTTAACTGTATTTGATGTCACCTAGGTCTATGATCATGGGCTGATGGCATTTACAATCCAAGTTTTTTAAAGAAAAGAATTTAATAGATCAAAGCAAGTCATCACTGCAATTGAATCAAATGACATGATCATATAAATTAAAGTGGTCAAGAGGAAACACAGGCTTCATCAGTCAGGAGTAACAAAAAACATGTCTTCCTTTGAACAGTCGTTTTTAATCTTCTGATTAGGGATTCTCCTGTTGCCGTACATATTCTTCTTCACCATTTCTGATCAGAAAACAGTCTAAAGACTGAAAGACTTTGGAAAGCTTTTTATTGAAAGCTGTCTACAGCAGTGTTATTTTGGTGAAGATCTTTATTTTGCTTAAACTTTGGGTCAAACATTAAAATTTGTATCCCTTTTGTCAATGGGAGGAAGGAAAAAAATCCTTGCGATTGCTCGCAGATGACCATTACTCTTGTCAGTGATTGTATTTTGGGGAAGCGTATGGTGAAACATTTTTGTAACATAAAACTCAAACCCACAAGAAGAAAATAGGCAGGATTCAGTTAAAAGATCACTAATTCAGAAGAAAAGAAACTGACTTTGACTGCTAGCCTTTGAATTACAAAGATTTTACATGTATGAATTACCATAGCTTCTGAATGGGATCTAAAATCCTAGCTGGATACAACAACAACAATAATAACACCACCACCTGTCTTTTGTGCAGGACTTCCATATGGGACTCTCAAAAGAGCTTTAAAATGATAAATATTACTATTATTCCGAATGGAAAGAAGAAGGACAATTTGCATGACCTATACTATCCTTCACTAAAACAGAAGACAGGACTGAATGCTGAAAATTGCTATGCTTCCTGGAATTATTATTATATCAATAACAAAATGAATTGATTTCTTATATTACTGGGCTTATTCCTAAAATGAAAGTACTTTCACCTTCTGGGTTAATGTCATTTACAGTGTTAACTGATTACACAGTGTTGCTCATTCCCACTTCATTAATTTATTTCTGAGCACAAACTGTCAGTAGAATGGAGACTACTGTAAAAGTTTTGTAACCAAAAGCGTTACAGAATGTGAGAATCAGGTAAGAATACTACAAGGTCAAATGTTAAATTGCAGTGCAAATTGCAATTTAGCATTTGTTACAGGCTTAGTAAACACCCCACTAATGAACAAGACCTTTATTAGAGTTCATATCATTGGTGATTAAGCTTTTGCTGACAACTCATTTCACCTCCTGCACTTCTGCATTACGTTTTATAACAGGAAAAGAATAAAATACTAATGCTAACAAAGATCAGACACTTTGTGTGCTTTACTGCAACTTAGTGTCTTTATTCTCTTCTAATTTAAGTAGTTTGAACTTTTTTTTCAGTCTCTACAGGCTAATTCAAATATAAATATTAAATATCCTGACAACCAAAACTTGTAAAACTGTTAACCACATACCACTAATATAATTGCTTTTTTAATAAAGGAGAAGATGACAACAAAACCATACAGTACCTCATCTAGTTCCATTTCATCTGGACTCTCCCATGGTTTGATAAACTTTCCACGAGACCTCTTTAAAGGCACAATTACTATGTAGTAACCTCTGTAAAGGAAAGAGTTGGACAAGTGAAGTTGAAGGAAAAGGAACAGATGAATTGATGGAGTAGTTGCCTGTCCAGAGGAACTTAAGAGAACAGTGGTACACTGGGGGCAAATTTTTGCACATTATTATGCCACTGCAGCTTTCCAAATGTAGTTGTAAAGATTCATGCTGTTGAAACCACTTCCAGTGTAAAACATTTGACAAACAAATGGCACTAATTACCTGCTTTTTCATGTAAACATATAAATATGCATAAGAAACTTTAATTATAATGTTCTGAAATGCCTACATGTTTGACTGCAGTTTATTATTTCATTTGAAATACAAGAGCCATAGGATATTTGTGCCTTACCATCATCACACTGGGAAAAAATCCCAAGCCCCTAAATATCACCATATATTTAAATCTCAATTATCACTCCATCTTCCTCCATTTTCAAGTATAATCAGAATAGTAGGTTAATATAAAGTGCTTGTTATTGTCAATACTATTATAAACAGAAAATAAAGAACAGATAGCATACACTCCACCCACACACTCTTTACTTTTGAGTATCAATCACTATCAGCTTTATCTACTCAAGTATTCTTTTCACAGCTATAGACAGAAGAGCTTGATGTATGTTCTCTTTACACCTAGGATTTGCAAACTACATATATCAGTTTTCCTTAGAAACATTTTCCTGAAAATATCTTTCTCCTCTCCCCCATAGAGACCAGTAAATTATACTTTCTAGTATAATCGTGATACAGCACTTTTCTTGTTTCCCTCACAAAGCCTGGATAAATGTCAGGCATATCCGTAATTTTACATTAGTGTGAGGAAAGAAGCAGTAGAAGCACAACAGCAGGACATCCAGTTTGGTATAATATATATCTTTCTGATAAACACACTTGTCAAAAAGTCAAGCACTCTCCATCTCAGAGAAAAGGGAAAAAAGCTGTTCTCCTTTGTTTCTAGCAATATCAGGGCTTATTAAGAACATGTCTCTGGCTCTACATTAAGGAAGATAATTTTAGTGTCTCATGGACTGCCTTATTCTCTTACACTCTGCCATTTTTTACAGCCTTCTGCAGCACTGACTATTCATTTTACTCAGGCAATGCAGTGAGTAAAAAACCGAAAGTGATTAGTAAAAGAGAGCCTACAGAAAAGGACTTGTGTTACAAGTGGTCTAAAACTATCTCAGTCTAAACCTAAATAAACTATCTTTCTGCCATACCAGTGCTGGTCATTGGTACATTTTAATGGTCTTTTCTTAATTAAAGCTCTTTCCCAGAAAAGAAATGTAACAAAACTTTTTATTTTTAACTACTGTAGCAAATGCACATATTTATTAATTCTTGTGTTAATAAATCTGAGAAATTTTTCTGTGGAAATGCTTAGCTACCATAGGAGGTGCTGGAAACAAAAAGTGTTGGTGACAGATTTTTAACTGCTGCTCCCTTGCTGTATTCCAGTATTTAAATAAAATGTGTAGCCTGTATTAACACGATAAAACACCTTTTACACTGATGTTCTTATTTAAAACTGCTAAGGCTGGTTGAACCCTGATATTCACTCTGTATGTATTTTAAAAATTCTACGGTTAAATTAATAGAAAATCTTAAGGGTGCTGATTTATCAATGTATGCAATAACTGTAACCTATGTAACTTCACTTTAACTAAGAATCAAGACCAAAAGCAATTGAGAATTGGCACCTATATGCCTTTCAGACATCAAAGATATATCTGCTAGGTGAACTGTGCAAGAGCCTCTTACTTATCCTTTTTTTCCTCCCACTTTTTCTTTTAAAAGCTAGCCGTGTATTCATACTGTTTTTTCAACCAAGGAACATCCAGCATGTAAATGTTACTTTCACACCCTTTCACGCTTTCTTCACGCATGCATCCCACTCACAACTTTGATCATTCACTAAGACTTTCAGCACATACAGAGTATTTCAAAGCTGAAAGTACATCACCAGCAAGCAGAAAAGCAAAACTGTACATACACATATACAGTGTTGCAAACTGCAGAGGACAACAGAGTTCTGTTATTTCTAGTAAACTCCAGAAAATGTAGCATGAAAAACATATTTTTATTATTTGCTTTATTATTTGGTGTGGGTTTTTTTGGTTGTGGGTTTTGGTTTTTTTTTTTAAATAGGGGATGAGAACTGGAGGTTTTGCTTAGATATTGTTTGAACTACAGATTATTACGAACTATTCAATAACTCTGGTTTTACCTAAGACTTTGCAAAGTCGGAATAGATCCAGAGAAACATCAACTGTCCTTTACACATAAGAATTGCATTTGATTAGCACAAAATACTACAGGAAAATGAAGAAATTGCTCACTGGAGATTATGCCAGTAAAAGACACCCATTTTACCCAGCATAAGGTGAGCTCTGCTCCATTTTCTATGCTGTCTCACCATCAAACACTGAAATAATGAAAATTACTTCTACAGTCTTTAATAAATTATAAAGGCTCTTATAACATTACCCTCAATCCCGTAAGTATTTACCTATAATTCATTATTGCAAAACATTATCTTTATTGAAAGATTTTCAGTGTATATAGTACTTCATAGTAAGACAGAGACAATCATGAGCGTGTAATGTACCCATAGAGGAAAAGCAACTGTAAAAAAGTCACTGAAACTATTACACAAAATTTTTATTCCCATACAAAGACTATAGCTGCAATAATCTTGCTTACTCTAGCAAGCACCAGGTAAGCTTTTCCTGTTCAGTATGTAGTTGTTTTGGTATGCTCACTTCCAAGCATCAAGTCATCCTTTTTTTTGTTTTGCTTTTCTATCTCTAGCCCAATCATATCTTCTTAGGAAATAGATACACAAGGAAGAGATACTTATTTGCAAAGTTGGCAGTTGGACCCCATAGGTTTAATGTACCTTTCTTGATATCACTTAGCCTCTTAGATTTTTTTACACTACATAAAAGGAAAGGCATTAGCTCTTTTTCCACTTCTATCTTCTGCTATTGTTTGACCAGCTACCCTGCACTTTTTTCTCTCTGTGACTGCTCTGCCTCATAAATCTTTTTTGACTCATTCCATCTTCAGTCTTCCTTAGCTGCATTTGTTACTGACCGCATCTCACTCAATCTAATGATAATGGTTACATTTTTCAGTTTTTCATCCTTTTAATGTCTTGAAGTCATTTCTTTCTTGACCTCACCTGCCTCAAAATCCTCAGTTAGTAATGAAAAAGGGGAGCAGCTTTCTACAAAACTGTCAGTAAAAATCCACCAGGGAGAGGACAAGTTGAATCCCCAACAATATTTAATAACTTGCTCATTTTCCTCCCCATTTCCTTTACATTACACATGGGAACCTTATAGACCAACAAGAATCACTATAAGCAGAGCAGTAACACTTATTGATTGTACCATGCTTCATGTTTTCTTGGCAAATCTTCATTGTCTAACCTTTCTAATCCCTGCTGACCATGTCCTGTCAGGTCTTTAGTCCTATTTTTCCTTTTAAATCTCCACAGAACCTTTTCCCCCAGAATCTATGTAACCTCTAGTAAACTCTGCCAAATTTTTCAGCAAAATCCTGTTTTCTTTCTAGAACCAGTGGAGAAGACCTGAGATTTTTCTTTTAATAAAAATCTTTGTAATTAATTTATATGAATTAAGTAATGTAATTGCAGTAACTATTCTTTAGAACCCTACATAGTTCAGGAATGACTGAGTTTGAATCCTTCAAGGTGCTGCAGCAGGGCAGCTACCCATCAATGGGTTATACATTTTTCTTGAGAGGATACATTGTTCAAAGCACAGCTGGCTTCCTTAATCTCTCTTTGCTATTTGAAGTCAATGATGAAACAGAAAAGTATTCTGAGAAACACCGACAAACTGAAGGACAATCCTTCTCCATATATTTCTATCTAGATTTTACTGTCTTACATACTTGGCTAAATGACAAACCTATAGAATAGTTCCAGTTGGAAGGAAACTATAATTTGTCTAGTCCAACTTCCTGGCCACTTCAAGGCTGACCAAAAGTTAAAGCATGACATTAAGGGCATTGTTCAACTACCCCTTAAATACTGCTTGGAGCATTGATCCACCTCTCAGGAAGCCTAATCCAGTGTTTGACCACCATCACTATAAAGAAACATTTCCTAATATTCTCTGAACCTCCCTGATGCAGCTTTGAACCATTACCACACATTTTACCACAGCATCACAGGGAGATCAGCACCTCCCTCTTCACATCCCCTCCTCAGGAAGCTGTAGAGACCAATGAGGTCACCCTTCAGCCTCCTCTTCTCCAAAGCAGACAAGCCCAGAGTCCTCAGCTGGTCCTCAGAGAACATACCTTCTGGCTGTTTCACCAGATTTGTTGCCCTCCACTGGATGCATCCAGGTACCTTCACAATAGAAACTAGCATTTCTTCTTGTTAAATTTCATGTCACTGGATATTGCCCAATGCTCCAATCTTCCTAAATCCTTCTGCAAGGCTTCTAGTCAAGCGAGTCAACAGCCCCTCCCAGTTCAGTATCATCAAATATTAGTCCAGTATTACGGTAAATACTACTACAGCATGCTGTATTCTCTGTACTGTTCTGAAAAGGCCTGGACCACTACTATAGCCCTAGAGTTTAGTAAATATAAGAATTGTCATCTTTCTGGAGTTATTAACAATGGTATGTAATTTGTTCACTCACTTTATGTTCTCATTTGAAGGTACTTCTGGAAGTTCCACAGTTATCATGCCATCTAAGTTGGTCTTTCCAATGAAGACTGGCTTGGTGCGAAGCACATCTGGTGCAGTCTTTGCTGTCACTCTGTGCTGAAGACCCCCAGCACTATTCCCTCTGTTCGTCAGCACAAATGAATATGATGTCTCTGGCTTCAAGTTAGTAATCAGCTTTTGAGTAGCACGTCCATCAACCTCCACCACCATTTTCCCATCATCATAAAGGATCTAAGTTAATATATAGAAATTGAAGATGGTTTTGGTTACTAAGAGAAGGCAACTGATACTGTCACACCAAATTCAGGAATGAACCTAGCTATAAATTTAAAATGAAAGTTACAGGGCATTTTAGTCTGTAAGATAGTGCTGGATTTACTACTGCAATTAGGCTTGCTTTCAGTGGAGAAGAAGAACCACATTAATTTAGTGTAAGCACTCCTAAAATCCAATTTCACTTATTCAAATTCAGTAGTTTTGCTTGAATACAGCATTTATATCAAGGCACACTTGTTGTTAAAGGTACTTGACTTTTTCATTCATACTCTTTATTCAGAAAGGTTTTGGCAACATTGAGTTCATATAATACTGCTCTTCACTCACCACTGCCTGAGATGACAGAAGTGATAAAGAATGATGCAGAAGAAATGCCAGCCAGACTGCAGGTTACAGTGAGTCTTTATCTGGCTCATGCCATAGTTAGTGGAGTGAACGAATTATAAAGCAAAAATGTGTGGCTGTAAATGTAAGGAGACAATAACCAAAATGATACTCAGCTACAGTCACTACAGAAATAATGAAAAAAAAAGAAAGAAAATTATTATTTCCTTCAGTGTTTTCTCTAAAATATATTAATAACAAACTACAAATTAGCAAGGTGCATAATAAGCAGTATACTCCTGCCTGGCACAACACTGGAAAGCTCACATTGCCAAATGACTGACTTTAACAGATTGGGTCAATATTGCTGATCAGTTTGCATTCTTAAATACATCAATACCAAAAAAATCCACATGTCCAGTAATATACTTAACTGGGTGAACAACATCCTCTAGTTTCTATATTTTATCTCATACAAATGGAAAGTAACTTACTTTGAAAGGCAAGGCTGAATTGTAATTTTCTGGAATTTCCCATGACAGCAAAACAGAAGTCTTCATTACTGCTTTCACATGAAAATTTTTTGCAAACACTGCTGGAAGAAAAGAAACAATGTATATAAACAACATCTTGGAGCTTAGATCTTGTCATATTTCCACTGCTACCTGGGAGTATTAGCTTTCCATTTCCGTTTCCATCAAAAAAATCCAAGGATTCAACTCTCCTACCTGTTTGCTCATATTTAAATATCACACTGAAACTCATTCTCACTCTTATCTAGTGACAATCCAAATGTACATTTTCCTTACCTGAAAAATTGTGTAGATGTTAGCCAGAACTTGCTTGGCAAGGGACAACTGAATTCTAAGGCATCCAAAACATATTAAGATTTACATACTTTACCTTTGGAGTTTGATGAACCTATTTTTATGAATGGGCTGGTCAGTTTTATTTACAGCTTCAAAAACACTGATATCCAAAGACCGATACTCCTTTAAAGGTCAACGCCATAAGCAGACAAATCCTACCTTGATCCACGGGTAGTGTCCTGAACTGGACACTTGGACTATATGGACCAGGCCCTTTGCTTGTGTGGGCACGTACTTTTACATCATATGTGGTATCTGGTTTTAAGCCAGAAAGTGCAGGAACAACAGGGAGTTCAACTGGCTGGTAAGCAACATTGATATCTCTGTACAAGATGGTATATTTGGTGATAATGCCATTTCTCTCTGCCAAGAGTGGCATCTGCCAAGTTAATTGAACTGATGTTGAAGTAGAGCTTTCCGAGTGGAGGTTTTGGGGAAATCCACTGGGTACCTCTTCAGGAACCGAAATCTCTTTAACCATCTCCTCCCCAAAGCCCACTTTATTTCTAGCTGAGAGCCTGAAGACGTAGGAAGCTCCTTTGTGAATGTCTGTGGCCGTGAAGTGATCTTCCTTCTCTGAGAACTCCATGGTGGTAAATGTATCCACGTCTTTGCGACCAAACTTCAGGCGATAACCCTGCAGCGGGCCAAAAGTGTCCACAGGAGGGTGCCACTGAATTAGAGCCGTGTTCATCTGTGTGTGGCTAATCACAAGCCGAGGTTTGCCTGGAACTGTAGCACAACGTTATTTACAGATGATAAATACAAACAGAATTGCATGTACAATTCTTCAGGCTAGTTTTAGCAGGAATAGGGATAAATTTTCTGTTCCCTCACTCTTAGTTCCACAAATTAGTGTCTTATAGAAGAAATAATGTCTGCCTCCTGCACTATTGAGTCATACATGATAACAAACTACACTAGTAAAGCCATTTACTCTTTCTTGACTTCTTCCCTTACCGTTACTTCTAAATACAGAGAACATTCAGAGGCACAGGACTTAAGAACACGAGTCAAGAAGTAAAACTTCAAAAAGACATCTTATGAATGGTTCTGTCTCACTTACAAATCCTTGCTTGCAAAAAAAGAGTACTGTCATAAGTATTCATTAATTTAATCCAAGGCACATTTCTGCCATTCCTGTAAATGGAAAAATAATTGATGATAATAATAGTACTAGTAATAATGATAATTATGAATAATAATGGAAAAATTACAAGTTTCTAGAGGTGTCTAACATAACTTTTGCCACTGACAGTTAAAATGGGGTAGAAGGGAATTCAGACCAAAGTTGTCATCAAAAAACATTACTGCATATGACAGAACCCTATCATTCCACTTTCCATACACGCCACTTCCAGCAATGGACTGTTTCAGCTTGGAGTGGTAGCACAACTTGGAATTTCTTCTGAAGACTAAATTGGAAGCTCTTCTTAACCTGTACATCAGATACATTCAAATCCTTAACTAGGACCTATTGGTCCAAATTGATGATTTGTCTTTCCGAGGAGTTCAGACTGTAAGTGTGGTGAGAACATTCAGTCCAGAGGATCAAAGTAGGCCTAATCAAGGGGGAAATGCCTTTTAACAACATATATGGTGTACATTTTGGAGCCTTGTTCTTATTTACTGTTTCTATTTAATTCCAATACCTGAAAGGTCAAGAGACAAAAATATTTTGGGGAGTATTAATGCCATGATAACATAGTCTTCCACATAGACTAATTAGCTCCATCTGCATTCAAAGCTTTCCAGTGTGAATGTAACTGCAGCACTCTGAGCTCTGGTTCCTGTATTTAAACACTTCAATGGATTTTATTACTTATCTTCCGTTCTCAGGTGTCCAGCAAATCAGATATGTATTGTCAGAAGTTCTGACTACCATTCCATAATGAATTATGAATAAAGAGGGAGAAATGGCATGGCTTGAAGAAAATTCTGCATTTAATATGCTCTTTCCTCATTATATCTGACATAAGTCATGACACTGGTTCTAATTGCAAAAGAATTATAGCTAGTTTTTATATAAATTTTCTGAATATCCTTTCTTCTAAATGTCTAGTTCACCTGCAAGTATTATTGTCAGAAACTTTGTAAGTTTTTTTCCATACTTTCTACTCCACTAAGTACATATTTTTCTCTAGTTCTGACTTTTCCTCATTGATTGGAAGATTCTTCTTTATGGAAGAAAGAAAAGGTGGTTAAGGCCTATTGCAGGCCATATTTTTACAGATTCACAGAGTGGTAGGGGTTGGAAGGGATGTCTAGAGATCATCTAGTCCAACCCCATTGACAGAGCAGGATCACCTGGAGTAGATCACACAGGAACAAGTCCAGGCGGCTTTTGAAAGTCTCCAGAGAAAGAGACTCCACCACCTCTCTGGGCAGCCTGTTCCAGTGCTCTGTCACCCTCACAGTGAAGGAGTATTTCCTCATGTTCAGGTTGAACTGAAACCAATGGAACACATGAAAGAGAAGAAGGATACACACAAATAGAATAATAACTCCTTCAGCTTTCTAGAGGAGAGACTGCTGGAAGGTGTCACTAAATTATTTCCGTGATAATTTTTTTTTTTTCTTGTGGCAGAACTGATTTTTAAACTTTGTGGTTCGTACAGAGAAAGAACGAAATTATTACTTGCTTTTGATCAGAACAGGGTAACTAATTAAGCTTATTTTTCTAATAAAATACCCTGTGATTAAAACGGTAAATAACAATTGTGACTTTTTTCTTTTTTTTTAATATGGAGCCTATTTGATATTGTGAAGTGTATGAATTTCCTTCTTGTTAACATGCAACTAAAGATAAAGAAAATGTTTTTCTCTCTTTTTTTCTTTCCAGATAGCTTTTGGTTAACATCATCTTCTAGTATGATCACTTGTGAGTAACACAAACCACAGGATTTCGTGTGGTCTTATATACTGTAGCATCATGAAATAGCCTTATCTAGAAACTTCTTCTGATAATAATACCTGAATTTACCATGAGCCGAAATGAAGTGAAATTGCCCATGAAAAAAAAATATTCTATGATCGAGTGAAGTTCACCTCCATTTCTATGCAGGATGATGTCCCTCAGACACTCCTTTACTACACTTTATAATGCCAAACAGTTGTAATGGCATGCCATTACTAGTAGAAGCTCATGTAAGCTGCCTTTGCCAAGTTACCCAAAGTGACTTGTTTGTTAGCTGCTGTACAGTACACCACTGTATTAACTTTAATTTTCTCCTCTCAGATGAAATCTGTATTTCAAGAGTGTTGTCCAGCACAGACAGTAAATTTCAAATAATAGTCAAGCTGTTGTGCTGTGAGATTCTACAACTACTGTGACACAGAAATTAAAGGTCTGATTAAATTCTCCATAAAAATTGTACAATATCACTGATTATAAATCTTAATTTTTATCAAGGTTTTGTTAATCACTTATTTCATAACTTCTGTCCCAAATAATTTAAAATTTTCAAATTGACTTGGAAAAGTCCAGTAAGACTTTTTTTTCCATCTGTTTCAAAAAATATAGAGGAAAGTAAACATAAGACAAAAAAACCAAAACCAAAACCAAAACCAAAACAAACCCACACAAAACCCACAGAGCAAATAAAAAAAAACCAAACCAAATGCTTCTGGAATAAAAATATAATCTGATTAACTGCTTTCATTGACTTCAATAATAACTGCAGTTATGATACTGTAGGCTCACTTACATTTATTGAATCTTATCTTTCCCATCTAAAATGTAAATGATACTAACTGGACACAGCTGATTAGTTAATTATCTGAGTAACTTTTAAATTTTAAGTTTCTCCAGTAAACATTCAGACCTTATTCTCCTTTCATATCCATATCTCTTATGGATATAACTTCACTCATTCTAACAGAGCTGCACTTGACTTGAAACTTTAAAAATTAGACTAGAAAGTCAGACCTTTCATTTTCTTTATTGTAGTATTTGAAAAACACCTTTTTCGCTAAAAAAAAAAAAAAAAATCAGATGGAAAATCTGAGACAAGAGTGTATATAAGACCTAGAAGCCCCTAGTACTAATGCACCATTCCTTCACCTGCCTGATGTATTCTCTTAGGAAGACAGCAAGCCGGAAACTCTTGGTACTGACTATTTTCACTGTCTCCTTTTTCAAAAACCTGCATATGAATTTTCTTACAGAAAGATCTCAACCACAGCAAGCTGTAACAGCAAGTGAGGAGATGTTAATACAAACAGAAATGTATCAAGGATCAAATGGTAACTAGCTGTTATTCAAGAGACCAGGAACAAACATTACTTGTCCACAAGGTGAAGCAAACAGCATAAACAGTGCAATACGTTTTACATTTACAGGCATGCCTCTGATCCTCAGTTGCTCTGCAGTCTCTCAGGGTTTTATGGGAAATGGGATTTGTTCATCTTTCTAAAGCAGCAGCATCACAGGTGAGAGAAACATGAATAGTCAATAAGGACTAAATGCACAGAAGCTTTAAGTTTGCAAGCAGGGCTGCATAGCCTATGTTTATGTCTTGAAATTAACAAAATCATAATCTATATGTTTGTGTTTATTTAAATTGAGAACTGAACCATAAAAAGAATTATGGATCAAGTGTCTTTTTTCTTAAGTCAAGAAGTATATAGCACTTTTTTTTTCCCAGACCATGGGAATTCAGGAAAGATAAGATGTTGGAGGGTATGTTTCAGCATCAGTCAAGAGTACTGACTACAGTGTACTCCAAAATCTGAAACTGTATGATACATCTAGCCACCAAGACTGAGTCTCTTCCAAGGAAACTGATGAGACAAGGATATAGATGATTCTGATGTTAGCACAAGATGTGTTTTACATGCAGTGATTGCTTTAAAAATTGAATCAATCAGTATAAATACATACGCCTTTTGGACTTTATATATTAGCATAAACAATAAAACAATGCATTGTTATTAAGAGCTTTTAATAGTGCTACAAAAGTTTCTTTTATAATGGATTGTAATGGAATATCCTTAGTGGCTACACTACAAAACCCAGAAATTAACACCTATTATCTGTGAACACCTGTAAGTGAACATCACACTAAGGTTGTGGTGGCATAATTTGGTTAAGGCCTGCCACAGTTAACTGTTAAATTTTTAAAAAAACTTGTATCTCACCTAAAACTTGTTCCTCACCCATCATCTGATAGGATACACTGATAGCATCCTAACAGTGCTAACTGAATCAGCTGAACTTATCATGCAATCAGATACTCACCATCTAATACCACCTGTGGTCAAATGCAGACTGAACACTGCTGCATGGTGTATTTTGCCTGAATTTATGCCTGAAATTGTCATTGAAGCAGTATGGGTTTCAGGATTTCACTGGCTGGACTTTCATTCTGTTTTCTAATACTTTGCTTTACCGATTGCTTTCTTCTGAGATAAATTGTAGTGATCATACAGAGAAGTTCTTTCAGTGTTCTTACTGACATGCAGCAGCATTGTTGCTCTCACAAAGATCAGGAAAGCCCTCCTTCTGAGCTCTCAATTTCTGTTTTGTTTTTCCTTTCCAAGAAGCTCTTCCATAAGAATGGAAGAGCTATTGGAAAGTATTCAGTTAAGTTTTAAATTTTGGCTGCATCTTGAACTGAGAAAGGGACACGGTGGGACACTGGTTTGGTTGTTAGCTAAATAAATAAAGGGCCAAATACTGAAGCAGAAAACCCTGCATCCTATAAGCACTTTTTACACAATGGGAAACTTCCAAATAGTGGGAGAAAGTCACTAGTAGGAAAAGCCAAAGGATTTATTCAGAGATTACTGTGTGACTATTACCTGCACCAGTAGTAGATATGAGTTTGGGCTTGCTGCGTGCTCCATCACCTTTTGTTGTATAGGCTGTCACAGTGAAGGAGTATGTAGTTTCAGGCTGAAGCCCAGAAATTATCATTTCCTAAGATGAAATAAAACAAGAATAGTTTATTAAAAATAGATTGTTTTCCAGGAAAAGAATCCTTCAGACAATCCCTGTATATTACATAACAGTGCTTTTGTGCTACTGGCAGTGACAGCATGCATTTCAGAGCACCAACAGACTGTTCTGCGTGAAATACTTCACAAAGCAAGATGTTTCACTCACTTAAGTAATAAAAGACAGCACACATAAATAGCATGCCTCAGGTAGTTTAAGGCACAAGGTCAAAGGTTTAGTGGTGTGGACAGTGGATAAAACCTTCTGAAATAGCCGTCCTGAGGAACACTACTGATATTGTGAAATGCATGCTTATGTACATATGAGAAACTCTACTTTACTTAGTAATTTGCAGGACCTCATTGATATATTTATAAAATGCCCAGTAAGAATGGTGTTTCATTTGTATCCACACTTTATAAATAATGATGGTTTAGCTGAACAAGAAAGCCTTATTACTTTCACAAGACTTTTAATTGCAACCTGTGTCCCTGGTTGGATTGTGCTTCTAAATATCTCAAAGGACTTCAGAAACAACTCACTCTTCTGGTCTAAAAGAACTACCCAAAAAAACGTTAAAAGTCTGGTCAGAGAATAAATCTGACAGCCCTCAAACAAATAACAGCAACTACAAAACAAGTAGCTCTTCAGCTAGTACAAGTGAATGGGAGCAAGATGAAACTCTGTCAAAGCAAGGGGAATCTTTTCACACCTGTGTATGCACACACAAATAGAACTTGGAGAAGGGCCAGCCAATTGAAATGAACTAAACTGATGTTATGCTATAAGGGCAAACAGAGGAACTTAAGATTTGACACTTTTACGATATAAATAAATATTACATGCAAATATTAAAGGATGCTATTTGAAGGCAACTGACTGGACCAAAGTTCCTGAATCATCAGATTCCAGTCTGTAACCACTGACTACTCCTTTGCCTTTTCACATGCCTGAATGGATTTACACTACATTTCGCTGCTGCCAGAGAGACGGTATATTTATGCATATAGAATATATAGCAGATGTACAATCACACACCACTCTGATGCAACAACAATAAAAATATAAAAGATTATGGGTCAGATTATCCACAGTAAATGGATTTTTCTAGATAGTAGGTATGTGCTTAGTACAGATGTAGTTAGAATTCATCACTGCATTTACAGTCAGTCCTTAGCAATATAGAAATAACAAAGTAATGATCAGAACGAGTGAGCAAAACAGATTAAAAAAAAATTAAAACCCCTCCTCCTTAGATTCTGTCTCAGAATTGAGTTGAACTTAAAGCCAAAATCTGTATGACAGACTTCCCACCTTTCATAACAAAACTATACTTCATACTAGCAGAATAAAAATGTAAAAAGAAAGAAAAAAAAATGCCATTCTTTCAAACAGTGATGAAGGTATCAGCCTCATCTAAAACAAACAGTAGTTCATGGTGTAAAAGATATGATTGCAGGTAGTGTTGTTGTTTAGAAGTGTGATTTTAATACAACAAACACTATTACTTAAACATAAACACTGCAGGGCATTCATCATAGCATACAAAATACACTTCTCAAATTATCAAAAAGAAAGCATAACTGACTTCACATTTTATCTTCATAAAAAAAGATTAACCTTAAAATTAATACAGAAAAATCTATTGCTATGCAGCTATGAACCACTTTTGGTTTATTTTCCTAACACCTTCTTGTAAAGTGGAAATCATAAGGCAAAGTTAGTTACAGCCATCAAAAAGAAGAAAACACAAACCAGTTCTGTACATTTTGGCATCATGCTAAACACCAGAATAAGCAAGCAACAGTAACCCCCACTCTCCTTGGGAAAAGGAAAAAAAAAAGAAGAAAAAAAGTTTCATAAGGGAAAAACATTGGGTCTCAAGAGCATGCATTAGTGCAAAGGACAAAAAATCCCAAAAGAAAACAGAACTAAAAAAACCAAAACAACCAACAAACACCGTGTCCCCCCGCCAAAAAAAAACCAAAACCAAAAAAACCCCAAACAAAACCCAAAAAACCCAAAAGGAGACTACAAACAAACAAGCAAAAACAATTTAAAAAAAATCCCAACACACTCTTTTTCTGACCAGTCAAAAACTACTCACATGTTCAGTAGTATCATCATATTCCCACTGATTGAGAGTAAAGAATGTTGGAAGAAAAACAGAAGAAATCAAGAAATTTGTAGCCTGATTGAGGTAATGTTTTCTTCTCAATAGTAAAATAAATATTAAAGATATCTGGAAAAATCATGTAAAGTTTCAACTAATCATGTAGAATCACATGGAATTTGCTTAATGAAATCAGGCCACACATTTTTAATTCTATTTTTGCTCTCCCTAAAACCCAGCCACTTCTCTTTCCTTGAAAGCTGGAAGAAGTTACATGAATCCTCTTGTAGCACATAGTAATATTTTATAGTAGATTGTATTAATAAAAGCTACCAAGGCAGAATTAAAGACTACCTGGTTTATTTATTCATGTTTCTAGGCTCTATGTTTGAGTCTCCCAAATTAATTCAATGACTTATTTAAATTAATAGAAGGATTTTTTTAGTCTTGAAACATAACCACGCTCGTCTTTTACTGTCGAGATCTTCAGACATGTACAAGCCCTGATCATATGTGTCATAGAAGTTATGACAGGCAGGAAGGAGTGGCGGGACGAAAGAGAGATGACTATCTAAAATGAACCAATGACAAACAGGCAGGTCAAAGCCAAACTTGGCAAAATAAAAGAAATATGACTTCTGCCTTTATGATATTTGGGCTCGAACATCTCATTTCATTTTCTGCTTCTGATCTTGTAGTGTCTAAAATTATTTTAAACTACTACCACACAGAGGTTGAAAGTGAAAATCTGTGCATGGAGGGGGAGAGCCAAAGCGCAGCAGCATCTCCTTGTTGAAACAGAAGTTAAAATATGTTAGCTGGTAGGCTGAAATATAGACAGAAAAAAAGAAATGAAGTTCTGGATAGCTCCCTGGTACATGAAATAATTACACTGTGACCCAGAGAAGAACATAAAACACCCTAATTACCTGTGCATCAGCCAGCATGATGTCCTTCAGCAAGGGATGACCCCTTGGCTCTCCATTTTCCATCCTCACGTAGTGGACCTGGTATCCTCGGATCTGGCCATGCTGCTTATTGGGTACAGGCGAGCGCCATGACACTTTAACAGCAGTAGAGTTGACAGCCTCTACCTCGACTTTGCGAGGAGGACCACTAGGAACTGGAACAACATCATTGGACAGAAGAGAATTACAGGCACCTCTCCCACCCATGTCTTTTGCTTTTTTTAAAAAGGGCAGACTCACTATGTTTTCTTTGAAGAATACAAATTGTTCAACAAATGAAAATGCTCAACCAATCTGTACTACTTTTCAGTGAAAAGATCAAAAAACATGACTGATGCAAAAAATGGAAGAAAAAAGAGTATTAGAGAAATAGAAAAACATGTAAAAATGTACAAAAGCCAAGGAAGATGCTTTGAGATTCAAAGCATTACAGTACAAAGAGATATTTTAATCACTGAAATAATACTATTACTACTAATAAAAACACAAAATATTTCAAAAAGTTTCCCTTGTTTTTTTTTTTTCTAAGTTATTTGTTTTGGTTTGTTTTTCAGTAGTATAAAAAGGAGGCTGATAACAGGGTTGTCTTCTGTCACTTTCAAGCATGGAAGAAAAGAGAATGTGTGGAGCATCAGTTTTTAAAGATTAAAAAAACCCAAACAACAAAACCAAAAACAAACAAACAAACAAAAAAAACCCCAAAACCAACAAGCCAAAAAAACCCCAAATCAAAAAAGCACAACATGGAACAAGAAAGCAGTCAGTTAAAAAAAAAACCACACCTGAAAAAAAGGTCATAAACATGTGTGTTTAAAAATAACAGTGACTGTAAAATCAAGGAAAAGTTAGAAAGATTTTCCCCTGAGACCTAGTTTTATGTTAAAGGAGGAGCAAGCAGGATATGTATGGGCTCAAAGGGGTAGAAGATTGATGTCACTCACAAAAAAGTTACTTTCTGTTAAAAAAATAAAAATACCAAATATAAAAATGGCGTAGAAAGGACAAGTCTCTCATTAAAAAAAATCAAAGGGTGATAATAACTGTGATTTGGGAAAAAAGAGGAGCAGAAAAATACTGTTAGGCTATGCAAAAGACAGCAGATCGACAGAGAGTCATAGAGGCTCAAACTGATGTAGTGGAGGCAACATACCATCTTCATCTGTCCGAATCAATACTGCTAAGCTCTCTGGGCCAGGTCCAACATCAGTGTGGGCAGTCATAGAGATCCGGTACTCAGTCCATTTTTCCAGCTGTTCCAAAAGGTATTGAGTACTGTCCGAGGAAATTCCCAAAATTTCATGGGGCTTGACATCTTCTCCATCAATCCCAATGTACTTGATGGAGTATTCAGTGATAATGCCGTTCTGTTTTTCCACCGGTGGAGGTTTCCAACTTACCAAAATGCTAGTGGAGCTGGGGCTTGTGCAACTAATGTCTTGAGGAGGAGCTGATGGCTCTAATTTCAGTAGTGGGTTAAAGGAGGATTTGAGTGAAAGGATAGGAGTGATTGAAAAAAATGAACAGAAAAAAGGATAAAAATAAATAAAAGACAACCAAATTAAAATTAAAAAAATAAACCAAAAAAAGTAGAAACTTAAAAAAGCAAAACCTCAGATAATCATATGCACCTTGGCTTATTAACATGAGAAAACTGAAAATGAATAGACTAACAAAATGGTGAAAAAGGATGTAGGGGAAATACATGAAAATGTAACCTCAAAATAATATTACCTACCTGTAATTAAAATTCTTCTTGAAATAAAACAAAAACGTGACACTTCTATGACTACCGATCTATCTTTATAATCATTGCAATTAATGCAAGCTATAATATTTTAAATTCCATAACATGTATTTACATACAAATTTGGAGATACGCTTTTTCAAGCGGGTTTACTCTGAGAAAAATTCTCCTTTTTCCAGAACACCGAAAAACTTGCAATAATTGCTACAAATTGCTCCATAAGCTGCCATTTCTGTAGCCTCTCCACTCCTATTAAAAAATTATTTTATTTTTTCTTTTTTTTTTTAATAACTGAGTCTGCCTGGCACAAGTCATTCGCAAATTACATTTAAATGGAAAGCATTTACTGAAGCATTTATTGTGGCCAACATACTAGGAGCATGCAGTGAATAGAAGATGAAGAAAGTCTTAGTTAAAGATTTACCTACCAGGAAAAAGTGACAGGCTTGTTGATTCTGACTGTAACTTGTACTTACCCTAGATCAGCTGTCAGTTTTATTTTTTTAACTCCTCTTGGAGACACCTTTGCTAGTAAAGATTTAAATCCTACTAGTAATGTAGGTAACTTCTATAGGAAAAAGAAATCTACCCCCAAACAAAGTGTCAAGAAAGCAGGTATTAATTTTACAAAGACAGTTCACAAGCTCAGCATATCAGAACAGTGAGAGATTCTGACTTTGATTTTTGTCACCAGCACCAATCTTCCAGAGCAAAAGTGCTCACCTTTACTGATTTGTACTTGAAGAAGGCTGTTTGCATATTTACCTTTTCCAGGCTCCAGAGAATTTAAGCGTATATGTCATGCCATTGCTTTCAGTGAGGTGATTTAAGTACTGAAAGTTAGATAGGCATTTATGTGCTTAAATGCACTTTCACTTAGCAAAGTCTGTGTTCACTAACTGAGATAATTGTGAACTGAGCACCAAAAAAGGAGTCATAGTTCAAATTCACTGGCAACAGTAGTGGATGCGGACTCCTTTCCTATTTCTGCTTTCTCTCTTGTAAGGTAATCATAAATTTTGAGTGCAAGATCTGTATGATGCCTTTTTTTGTCTACTATTTTCTTCCCATTTCTTAAGGGAAAAAAGAAACAAATGGATTTCTGGTACTTATACCAGACACATCAAACAAAATTAAAGCAACAGAGAAGGCCTAGGACCCTGCTGTGACCTATTGCATTTACACATGTATCTTTTGGTTCCCTACAGCTCTTCTATAGGGATCAATGGTTTTTTACTCAGTATGGTACACTGCTCTTCTGAAGGGAAAACAGAAGGGAATGTACTAGCATTTCAACTAACTAGAGGTGGTAGATGGGGGGACAGATCAGAACTATCCTATCTAGGTTTTTCTGGGCAAGGGCAATTCAGTGATCAAGTACTCAAAATATGTCACTTCCCTTCTAACATCCACTTGCACAGAGATTAAAATAAGAATAAAATGTCCCTTAAGGATCTTATATATAAAGAAATAGACCCCTGTAGCATCTTTCTCTGAAACCAACATGAAAGGCAATAGCATATTCTGGTGCATATTGCTAATAAACTCATAGAAGTTTATTAATTTTTAATCCATTATACTCCGAAAATGCAAAGTACTGCATTTATGTAACTAAGGATAATCCGTAGGCTACTTGTATAACCATTTCTATTAATGCATATATGTTTTTCTTTAAATACATAATTTTTGTGAAAAGATTTTGTAATCTTTTCAGCAAATAACTAGGGTCTGCCCACTGAAATCAACTGGGTTTTCCTCCTATCTGAAGACATTAAGCTGAAAAAAGCAAAACATGTTCCTATATTCAAGAAGGGAAAAATGGCAATGTGGAACATGCAACCTAACCTCCAAGGTATTTATTTTGTATGAACACTCTAAGCAGTCTACACTCCATATAAGCGAATAAGCCTTCTAAATAGTTGAAACAGTTCCCAGAATAAACAAATACCTTTTTTTTAAACAATTGATTCTGCATTACTAAAATAAAACTATGCCTTGCCACTGTCTCTGAAACTAGCCTTGTGTTATATTATGGTCTTTTATGCTTATTCTAAATGCCTTAGAAATGCTTCAGAAGCACATTCAGCTTTGGTTAAAGGTCTGCAGCACTGCATCTCCAGTCACACTAATTGCTATTAATATATAACACTTACAAAGAATGAGGGTATAATCACATCTGCCATGACTTGAAATTAAAAAGTCTTATGTCAATTGAGAATCTGAATTTACTTTTTTGAATATTACTTTAAGAAAAGGCCATTTAATTTGAAACAAATAGAACAAGAATTGCACTGAGGTTTAAAATGACATAGTGTAATGCAAACTGTCAGGAAAGCATAACATATCAGACAAGAGTAGCACTTCTGGACATCATCCGTGAATATCTGATTGTTTTAATTAAGTATTAATTTGAATATTTTAAAATGCATATAAAAATTCCTGACAAATTTTGCATCTCATTTGCAGATAAACACGATGAGTTTCATGACATTGTTTCCATAAGCATCAGTGAGAAAACAATTTTTCTACTGGTGTGAAAAATGACTGAATGTCATAAAAAGCCTAGATTAAAAAAAAAAAAAATCTAACTTAAAAGTCAGAATGATTAGCCATTTAGAAGAATGGTTATGAGGAAAATTTTGGTATGTTCTCAAATATTCAACCTGACCCAGTCCACGATTTTTTTTGTAATTCAGGGACATGCTGAAGAAACAACCTAGTATGACAGGAAATTTGTAGACTGGGCAGGAGGAATTTTACAGGTAGAAGGCTATTATTAATGTAGATCTATTGCATGATAAAATATTTTATTGTATTACAACATAAATTAAAATATTGGCATGAGAGCATAATATCAAAGAATCTTTAGGTTGGAGAAGACCTTTAAGATCATGAAGTCCAACCGTAAACGGTTATTGTCTCATTAGAAACTAGCTTATGAGTTTTTTTCTGAAACTAAAAGCCAACCATATATTAAGTTGATCACAATATACCTACAAAAATACACATTTTAAGCATTTTCTGGCTGTAATAAGCACCATCAATGTTTTATTTTTATCATTTTGCCGTCTTCTCTGATTCTGCTTCTTTGAGAAATATAAGACAAGAGAATAAAGTTATCAAGGAAAAACACCTACTTGACTGCATGGTTCTCGCTGAAATTTCTGCTGTTGAAGCACCCAGTCCTTGTGGAGAACGTGCTGCTAGACGGAATAAGTACAAGCTGTTTGGCCTTAAACCTTGCAGACGATAAGATGTAGTAGGTTCAGTGGAAACCCGTTGCTAAAGGTAGGTAATAAGAGGATGTCTTGATTATTATTATGAGACTTTGAATTCTGTATGTTGCCTAAAGATTAAATACTTTTATACTCTGCTGATAACCCCATTGAGAAAAATTTAAATTCAAGAAAATAAATAAGAACCAAATCAAACTGACAAACACACATTAAGAAACAGTATTTTTTAAAGTCAACAGCTTAATGGGCAAAACTCAAAGCCGGAAATACTGTATGACTGTTTGAGGAAGTACTAGCTGTGTACAAATTATAGAAGTCTTTTCAGACAATATTTCTTATTTCACTGAGCCACAGGGTTTGCTAATATGACTAATCTTGGGTATAAGCTCGATGTTAAATTTGTGTCCAAATTGTTAAAACCCAAATACTTCCAAAGGGTAACTTAATAAGTAGAGGCCTACATCCTATTTGGAGGTGAAATACAGATCTGTACACCTTCTACAAAATACGCTTATGCATTCACAGTGTATGTCTGAAGCTGCCATAAACATAAGCTCAGTTGAAGCATCAGCAGTGAGTTGATGATGCATGAGAAATCAATGAGGCTGACACTCTCCTGCTGCCTTCTGAAACTGCTGGCTTCTTTCATCTGGGACACCTGGCAATATCACATGGTTTCCACATCAAAAGAACAGTTTATTCTAAGTCTATGATACCAATATCACAGAGGCCCTCAAACTGAAAATTCTTTAAGAAATAATGGTACAGAAAACATCCACAGAAGATTTTTATCTTTAGGGAAAAACCCAATTTTATTGGCAAATATTATTGACAGATTAGAGAAGCTTGAGAACTCTCTTAGATGGTGTCAGAGAAGCAAAAATTCTACAAGCCTGAAAATATATTTCAAGTATACATCAAAAATTCTTAATGATTCCATAACTAGCCCGAAAACACTTCTGCTTCCAATCCTTTGTAGTGGAACAGGTTTGGAGAGACAGGATCAGTGTCTGAAACTGGATGCAACTTCTGTGGATGACTTGTTGCAAGAAACAGCAAAGTTCCACTGGCTGGTAACCATCAACAGCATTTTCTGCTGTTTCCACTCTCTCAGTGGGTAGTTAGACTGACTGCTGGGTTTAACGAACTGTTAAACATCAAGGAAGTTCTACTAAGGAAAGTTACTAATGCATCAATTCTAAACCATTGTAACATTTTATGTTTGGCTTATTAAAGAGTATTTAAAAGATGAATAGTCTCTTCACTTACCTCCTCCCCGTGCTCCCCATCTTTGTAAACCAGTTCATAGCTGGAAATGGTATCAGAGCGTGGAGGTGTCCAGGAAAGTAATATGCTCGTTTCAGACTCAGGTTCTGCTTTAAAGTTCAGTGGCTGACCAGGCACTAAAGAAAAAGTTGAGCAATTGTTTATTTGGCTAGTTCAACAGTTACCTTTCAAACCTTTAAAAGTATTATCTGAATATTTCACACAGTATTACTTTTATATACTTACCAAACTTAAACAGATTGATTAACTGTATTTCGAAATAAATCAATCTGAGCTTAGAAAAAGAATAATGATCTACTTAATTCACACATTATAAATTATCAAGGTTTCCAAATAAATGTTTTGCAGTGTAAATAATGCACACAGAAGTGAAATGCAATTGAACAGAAGTCTGGTGATGAATATCAGCAATCTAATAATCCACATGTGGAATATCAAATATGTATATATATATATGTATACATGTGTACATATGGGGAAATGCTAGTCCTACGTAAGATTGGCTGGAATAGTCAAGAAAAATGTGTTAAAACTATTACACATTTCCACACATTTCCTAATTTGAAAATGGTTTGCTCAGCTCATAAATAGGACACTACTAACATCCTGCTCTTTAAGAAGACACCTAAATATTGAATGCTTTTGTAACCTGAAGAAGTTACAATCTACTGAAGACATCTTCCGTAATGTTCTCATTAAGTGACATGTTTCTACCCACTTAATGACTGGTATTTTTACCAGTGTAGGTGCATTTCTAATCTAAGTGCAAGAACTGAAAATGCAACTTTGATTCCAGTATTCAGAAACATTTGCTGTTGTTATTTCTTGTGAAATGGTCACAGAAATTATCAAGACCCTCATTTATGTTGCAGATCTACAGCAAATAATAAGGATGACTGTGAAAAGACAGTAAAATATAAACCTGTAATTGGAATGTATATAAATATTTTGGCATTCAAGTTCTAAAACATTACTTTCATTTAATAGTGCTGTTGATAAGGCATGAAATGGTCTTCCACAGCATTTCTAACTTTTCAAGAATAAAATGTGGCATGCTCTTACTTTTTCAAGACAAAAATATGAGATGCACTTCATTAGCACATACTGAGAACAGTTATGACAAGTTGGATTTGACAATAATGGTCATTTCATAATAATTTTTCAGGGTAGAATTTTATTATAGCATTACAAGTGGGTTGCTTTGTTTAGTAAAAGACTTAAAACCACCATGGAACCAACATTAAATTACTTTGTGATTTTAATTCTTATCTTTGCCATATTTCTACAGATTGTCACTCTAATGACAACACTGTCCTCTTGTATGGTGCTGCAGTTTTGGTATCTAACATTTAAACAGACAGATAACCTGTGAGTATGAGGTGCATATTCAAGCTCTTGTGTGGAGGTTGGAATTCCTCAGCATTCGCTTTTTTTTTTTTTTTTTAAATTCAGAAATAGGACAAAATAGAAAAGGAAAGGTGTAGAAGGATGTTGTCTATTTCTGAGGGAATGAGTAAGTCTCTTTATGGGAAGGAAAAATCATATGAGTAATTAGCTATTTTTCTAAAACATGTCTGGTGTAGAAAGACAACACTTCCTCGGGTACTGCAAAGTGCAAAGGGAAAAAGATCACAAAGCACAGGGAGTAATTACAGGAGATACCAAGGAAGTATTTTTGACAGAAATATTTATAATTTTATCCTTTTAAAATTGGATGGATTTGAAATTAAGAGGGAGAGAGTGGGATAACTGGATAATTCTTTACTTTGAAACTGATTGTAAAATACCACTAGATCAAACTGTTAACTTGGCAAATTAATAGCACAGTTGTATAAATGTATTTACTAGGTGAACATTACAGCTTTTTAGGTTAGCTGCTTCAAAACAAGCCTAAGTAACAACAGGACAACAGCTGCAGATTCATCTCCTGTTGAACACATATTCAAGTCGATGTAGAGCCCCACTGAAGGCTTGCCAAAACAAAATAACAAAATCTGGAGTCTAGGCAGGAATTTAGAAGTATTTATTTTGCTATAGGCTGTTCTAAATCTATTTCATGAAACTCAGGTGGGTACCTGACTGTAAACATATTGTTTGCTTCATCTGACGAAATGGTAAGTGGTATAACTGACCTGTGGAAAAAATTCTTCCTTCAACGGGTATCAAAGGACAGGTAAAAAATATTTTTGCAAAGTAACTGAGCAGCATGGTTGGGGTTACAAAATCCCCTTTGCCTGGTTATGGAAGGTCAAACAGCAGCTTATGTTATCTATGCTATGCTTTCCATCTGGTGTTTGACATCTCTGTCATTCTCCTGGAGGAGGTGATGGAGGGCACACATTCCAGGTTTGCAGACAACAACAATCTGGGGACCACCAATTCCATGCTTGAGAGCCAGGGTGATGTTAAGAGAGATGGAATAGGAACAGGCCGATGGTTCCACATGAAGTTCAGCAAGCCCTGTGCCATACAGGCAGAGTCCTGCAGGGATGCAGGCTGGGGCTGATGGGGCCAAGGAACAGCCGCGAGATGAGCAGGGCCCAGACGTGTGCCCATGTACCAACAAGTGCCAGTGTTGCCTGGAGTGCTGTGAGCAGGAGATGTCCCTGAGAGCCTGGAGGGCAGGGACTGTCCCCTCTGCTCAGTGCCTGTCAGACCACATCTGTGTACTGGTCTGGTTTTGGGCCTCAGCAAGATGGATCTGGGCTAGGAACCTTGCCCTGCAAAGAGAGGCTGTAGGACTGGTGCTGGTACAGCTGGGAGAAGGTATGGTTTCAGGGGCATCCAACAGCATTCCTGGCACTGATGAAAACAATGAAGGAGACAGAGCTGGGTTCTTGACAGTGGTGTATGGCTGAAGGGTGAGAGGCAGTGGCAAAAGCTGAAACATGAGAGGCTCAGGCAGGAGATAAGGAGAAGCCTTTTCCCTGTGAGGACAGCCCCACTGTGGAGCCAGGGCCCAGGCAGACTGGCCCGTATCCAACTTTGGCAAGTGGTTTATGTCTCAATTGGGTGAAGCCCTGAGCAGCCCAGTGTTACACCATGTCTAGGCTTGCTCTGGGCAGGGGCTGGGGCTGGAGGCCTCCCCAGAAGATTACCCTGCCAGCTTGAATCACCCTGTGATGCTATGATCTGTGCTTAACATATGGTCAGATGAACCGGAGAACACAGCCAGGCAGTAATAATAAACGACCAGTGAAGTGATCCACATGAAGGCTGGTGCCATCGTTAAGATAAATATGGCAGCAGATGGAGAATGAAGGGCATTTCCTGTCTGTCTGAACATTTTAAGACCCTCATCCTCCAAGCATTCTTTAAAAAAAAAACAAAACCCTTTATGGTCTTAAGTCTGCAATTCTCTATCATTTTATAAAACAAGTTGATTGGACTTTCCCAAATGTTGTTTGTCAAAATACTATCTTGCTGCAAAACCTAGTCTACCCTTACATTTTTCAACCACAGTTAGGCAGCTCTGAAGCTAAAAACACTGACAGAAGAAAGAAGTGAAAGGGAAAACTGCATTGCTCCAAACAGATAAAGAAGATGGAGAAGAAAGACAGCAAAGTAAAATAACAGAAACTAAACAAACTGGATTGTTGATAAGCTCTGGCAGGGAACCCAAGGCTCAAGCTAAAGAAAAAAAAAAAAAAGAAAAATTAAAAAAACCCCAACAAACCCAACCAATAAGAAAGTAGAACAGTAGCTTAGGATTTATGCCTAGAACACACAACATCTGCTCAAAAAGTTCTTCAGTGGCACATGGGAACTAAGCCAAGCAGGAGGAGCTGACAGAAGGTAGAGGTCTCCTTCTGAGACCAAAAAAAATAGGGAAAATGGTAAATCCATTTAAATGGACTTGCAGAAATGTTTTCAATTACACAGATCAAATCTAACTTTCCATATGTTGTGGCTTAACTGAATCCAGTACTCCATATTAGTGTTCTATATGGACATCTCAATGAATGGTATCTTTTTGCATGAAAATTCTCTCAGCATTTTATTTTCTGCTTTGACATCATTAATCTACAAAAGTACATTAAAACTCAAAAATTCCCGGGGCACCTGAACCTGTACTCTTCTTATTTCTTGATTGTAGACATGACATTTATTAAGTACTACATAAAATTAAATACTACAAGGCAGTGACAAAACCAAGAACGAAGTCCAGAATTACACTTTTCAAAACTTGATACCAGGTTCTACATGTTTGCTTTATGTTTATTATTGGATAACCAGAAACAAACACAAATTGCTGGACCCTGTACTTCATATGTGATTTTATGTCCATCCCTGATTCTAGTGCCAGAACAGAATCATAAATAGGATCTCAAATTAGAAAGGCCTACACAACTCTTCATCTGGCTTACATAAGCAAATAAACATTCTAGGGCTAAGCTGGGTTTGCAAGTGATGCTAAAAAGAGAGGAGCATCTCCACGCTAGAAAGGGCCTCTTGAAATTGCAAAGGTGAAACCCATACCTAGAAGAAAACTAAATCACTTCAATTAGGAAGTAGTTTTGCAAAGGACAATAGATTGATCAGAAGAATTTAGAATCAGTTGGGAACTGAAAGGGACCAAAGGTTCATGCTTCTGCTTCCTCTGAAGAAGTAAGCAGCTCTACTGAGAAGCTCCTATGATTGAAGAGTTAATGTGCTCTGGACTTTTTCATTTGTAAAACGAAGCTTGTACTTTTTTGAAATACCAAATTTTCACGGAATATTTTAAAAAATGAAATGGGCAATTGTGCTGGATTTAGCTAGGAAAGGGTTGAATCTCTTTACCGTGGCTGCTAGGAAGCTGTGTTCCTGGATGCAGGGAGCAGCACTGATAAGTTCTCAGCTGGCACTGAGGAATGCCTGTACCAGTGTCAAGGTCTTTTCTCCGCTTCTGATACTGCAGCTGCGTTCCCAGCTCTCGCAGTCTTGCTACAGGCAGTGCTGGGACATAGAGTTCAGACACCTGACACAAACTGGCCAAAGAGGTATTTCATGCCATAGTACGTCATGCTGGGGGCAGAGGCGAGGAGGGGCTCCGGGCGCCCTTACTCTCCCTCCCTTACTCTCTCTGGTTCACTCCCGTATGCCTGCTAATCCTCACCCTGACTCCTGCGCTAGC